GGATTGTAATTGTTGTATCTCTGAGATTCAATCTGCGGCTGAATCTAAAATAAAGTGACCTTGAACAGGAGTCATCCCGTATGACCACGAGCGCCTAACGTATTCTATATGATTCGTCCTGCTTCTCCCCAGAGGGTGTTAGATATCTCGGCATCATCTCCCTTTTCTCCCGCGGCTGCGTTACGTTTCGTGCATATCACCCCCCCCCCCTAAGGTTGACGAGGGATTCAAAACAAAGCCCTTTAAAAAAAAATCTGAAGTGTTTGAAGTTGAAGAGCCTGGTTGAATGATCGGTTAGTGGCCAGCTTGTAATGTGCACGTGCTTGAGACAGAAGGCGTGTGTCCAGGGAGAAAGTTGAGTTCTTCGCATCCACTTTCTGAGTTTTCCACATAACATGCTACTGATTCTCAATCAGGTATCCAGGAGTCAGACTATGTTCGGTGGAATGTGTTTGCTGGGCAGTAAACATTGTCCCAGCATGCAGTGTGCACGACAGAGATTCCACTTCACGTCGGGAGATTCATTTACTTTGATTAATTATTTACACAGAAGTACCGCTTGAATTTATTACATCAGATTGCAATCCTTTTGCAATTATTCCAGGAGCTAATTATTGCTTAAAAGCTGAGAAAGAGCAAAGAATTAAAGAAAAAAAGGAATATAAAAAATAATACTTAACAAAATACAACAATTATTTCAGAATACACTGATTTTCAGGATGTTAAATTACATTACCGGTTTGTTTGTGGCTTAACTTATCTCGATAAATTCATCTCAATAACTTATCTCGATAAATAAAGGTCCACAGTGAATTCATGATTATGGTAATGCTATTTGTATGAGGAAATGAGTCATAGATATTATAGACCGTGATGATGATGATGGCAATATTGAGGATGATGCGTTAAGAAATGTTGCGGTAGTTAAGGTCACCACAATATCTAAACCTCTCGTGATGATAACGATGACTAAAGTAGAGCGGTACATGTGCCCATGTTTTTTTTTCAAGTCATCTCTTCACATCTTGTTCTGCACACTAAACTAGATCACGTGTTAAATATGGCAAAGGCATTACTATACTTTTCATTCGTAAGATTAAGTAGCCCATTCCTGCATCTTTATCTCAATTCTAGCAGTGACAGGTGCGATCAGCAGAGCTGAAGGATGTGCCCTGCTTCTCGTGACTAGAGCACCGCACGCGCATACGTGCGCCGACATCCGCTGAATGAGTTGCGGGAACAATTGAGTGAACAATTGAGTGAATAAAGGTGTCAGTTTTGTACCAGTTTAAAAGGGTAAAAACCTACTACTATATTTTGCCACTGGAAAAAGAGATCTCATAGTGTAAATGCTTACCCCGAGCTCTCAATACTCTGATATTGCACTGTGTTTGAGTTGTACGCCTTCTGGTGTCATCTGGTCCAACCCCAATGGGGACTAGGCTCTAAAGAAAGCCGTCTCGGGTGTGGACCAATCAACTTCAAGGACTGTGCATATTATTATCATTATCAGAGTTGCTTCTTTTTGTTTGCTTTTTTGACTACTTGTGTTGTGGTTATTGCAAACATGGTGCCTTGAATAAAGGTGTCAGTTTTGTACCAGTTTAAAAGGGTAAAAACCTACTACAATTGAGTGATTGGCCCAACCCGTGTGCTGACCCATGGCGTTCCCGGCGCTGTTTTCGACGGACGTCTCCAGCCACAATTACAGAGAAAGCCGAGGGAGTAACCCACGCTTTCTCATTTGCTCCCCACACCAATGCCCTGCAATGCGAGCGGGACATCGTACCGACCCCTCCCTGCCTCAGTGGTGGGCACAACGACTTCATGCCTCGCTGATTTCTCCAGGACGGTGAAAGAAAAGTTTAAAAAAAGACCTTCCCCTGGCTCCTTTTATCGACAATTCCCAAGAGAAACGCTTGCGAGTCTCTGTTCAAGCAAAACAGAGACCTAATTATTTAGACCAGCTGTCAGGGGACACCATGCGTGACATTCCTTCGTGTGTCCATAAAGTGTTAGGAAGATTTGCCCTCTTATAAGCTGCTTCTTTTTTTACGCTCGGGATTGTAAATTGGTAGCAATTTTTCTTGAGACGATTGGCATTGGTGTCTTGTGTTCTTTCTAATCTCCAAGCCCGGTGTGAACGTGACCACAATATGAAAAGCCAACTGTCCAAAGAGCAGCATTAACTTTATGCGAGTGTCTTACGTAGAATGTAATAAACCGTGGCTCGTATGCTGCACCCGTTATGGTCAGAGGGGGCCCCCTTGTAAAAAAGCACTGGCGAACATAAATACACGCAGCTGTACATAACCGATAAGATTGTAGTTTGAATTATTTTGTCGTGTCCAAGACCATGTGTTCCACATGTGCGTGCAAGCACGTATCTGTGTGGAGTGCGTGTTAGCCTGTCAGTCGTGACATGAATTGTTGTTGCCTCAGCAACTGTATATTGTTAAACCAGTCGTGAAGAAGAAACCATTTTCTTAACAAAAGACATCGTTGACGTTGACAGTAACAACGGTGCTTAACTGACAAGTAAAATTTTGCCCAATAGAGATGTTATCTGGTTTTAAAATTCTACGGTGTTTGTGCATAAAGCTGCCTCTATGCTGTATGTCTTCTTACGAGAGCAGTCTGAGTGAGGAACGGTAGTGTAGTGGTTAGCACTTTACGCTATGAACCCTGACGACCCGAGTTTGAGTCCTGCTCACGACCAATAACAGTGGCGAATATCTGAACCGGTCCTGTGCCTCCCCTAGGTCGATTCAGCCTTAAATGAGTAATTGGTGCGGTGTATTGATATTCGTACTGAGGAGACAAAGGTGGCCAGGCGTGGTGTTGGCCACCCACCCCTCTCATGTAATAGGTGCTCGCTAACAACAGTCTATTTAACGTTATACGGGTGGGTCTTTGTCTTTGTTTACATTTAAATTTCACATCGCGGCAACAGCATGAAGGGCACTGCACTTCTGTATGTTAACAGAGCAGAAGGGCCTTTGGGTTATGTGTTTGTGCCAATTATGTCATTTTCTGTTTGAAAGCGCATGCGAGGATTACATGCTTTTGTGCGCATGTACTCTACGTTGGCATTACACGTTTACACTTGCAGCTGAGAGGGACTTGGGCAAATTATTTGGCGATGCTGCTGCCACGTTGGTAGTCGTGCACAAGCAACGAAAAACTCAACGCACTCGTCGACAACACTGCATTAATGCACAAAATATATTTCATATATTTCAGTGAGCGATGTTACGAGCCGCCCCTCCTGCACATCAACAGAGAGGCACAGTGAGGTAGATAGATTTCGTGAGGATTTTAAACTTAACACCACGGGGCTTTGACGTTTTATTTTATTTTCTGATGACCGGTGTTTAAATGGGCTTATACATAGTTACCTTAAAAGTGCATGTGAATAGTCTCCAACCCTTATTTACTCTATCTCTCTTGCCTCTCTGTTTATGCACTATTGAGAATGGCCATTGCCCGATACATCGGTCAATTATATAGATATTGTCTTTGAAGGCTGTGTTGTTGACGAGTGTGTTGAGTGTTTTGGCAAATGAGGGTTGGTCAAGAAGAAGATAACGATCCGTATTATGCGCCAGAAGCCATCAGCGTACAACAGCATGCATGAATTCATCAATGTAAAATTAAATGTGTTTGTGGTATAACGATTCATCGCCGGTGACTCTATAAATGGTCACAATTCTAGGTTTCAATTTGATTTTTAATTTTTTGTTAAATTCCCCTACAAGCGATTAATGTAGCAGCCTCCAGTGTCTGCAAGGGTCACGTGAACCCACAGGACATGAATCATGATCGATGCATGTATCGTGAACTTAAAGATTATATATCAATATGTGGATCAATGCATCTATACCCCCATAACATAGACAAATGTGTTTGTGTAAAAAAAACATCAATAGGTTATGTTGTATCTTTCATGTGTTCTTCGAAAACAGTTTCAACAATGCCTCCGCTCACTTTGTTGTCAATCTTCTAGTTGAAAGGCCGAGAGTTTTTCCTCATCAGAAAGATGCATCGGTTACCCTGGCTATGGCCTCGTGTGTGTCCATTTTAAATGGACAACTCGAAGATGAATTTTGTTTGCAGACTATCGGTAAATTTAACAGAATGTTTGCAGCTACGAGGGATACAGCTACATGTGGTTTCTCTTGGTGCATTCTCTTTTGGTTCTTTCGGTAGAGTCACGTAGGTATAAAATATTTAATCTATTTTATTTTATACCTACGTGACTTTACCGAAAGAACCAAAGAGTACGGATCCCTGCAGTCACGAAAACTTCAAATCTAGATTATCTTGGTAGATTCTTAATATTCCTCAGCATTGTTGCGACTCACTTTAATTTCTAAAGCAGGAGTTACACAGGAATCTCTTCACTCAAATCTTTACTGGGAGATTGGTAATTGACAACATTTCGCTGTTTGTTATTTCCACATGCCCTGGTCTTCAAGGTTATGGTGTGTTTTCAAACGGCCTTCACGCGCTATATTGTTATACCACAAGGTCTGTCATTTTGTTAAAGTCTGTCTTTATGTGTACTAGAGTACATTCAGATGCTGTGCCAAAACTATGATGCCTACTGGGTTGTTGTGATACTGGCTGAATTTTATAAATCCATCTTGCCAACACCAATAATTCAATACGACATTTTTATACAATATTCTGTCAAAAATGACAGCACATCAATTGTACAACCTTTTTGAAAAAATTATTTATTTTTTGTTACATGTGGCATATTTTTTAAAATGAAAGTTTGAACTCCGTATGTATGGGTCGACATTTGTCCCATTCATTTTTATGAATTTCTGTGCCCAGATTCTACTCTAATGCAGTCAGAGATCACAACAACTGCTCCCTTGTGTGCCCTTCTTATAAACTCTGGATACGCCACCGAGCGCAAGAAATAACTCTGTTCCGACTATAACGGAGTGCAATGAGCCTGATGCATATTATTATTATTGTTCATGTTTCAGGTGGTTCTCTTCACAAGCTCAACCCAGCCGTGCCTGGAATGTTCTTAGAAAGCAAATACCGGCCTGTGAAACGTGTACCCCCTCTCACCCACCAGCCGCCGGAAACTGGCCCAGCTTTGCCTCTCAAGCCTCAGCATCCTGTCTCAGCAGGGCACAGTAGCTCGTCGCTCCTCAAGCCTCAACATCCAGCGGTGACTGGGAGCGTATCAAGCCCTCTAAAAAAGCACGCATCACAGCAGCCAGGGGCTGTGCAGCCTAAAGTCCTGGCCCAAATTGGGCACGATGCACAGCTGGGTATGAGCATGGGCAAGCAGGGTGGTTCAAGCTTGTTTGCGGATGCCAAAGTGGACCAAAGCAAAGCCACGGACATTGGTGTCAAGATGGGGCTCATCGGGTCTCCAGAGCGCCAGAGCAAGGCCCGGGCTTCTCCGTACAGCTTCCAATTCTTGTGGAAGTCCCTCGGAGAACTGGAACACTACGATTTAGAGTTAGATGAAATTTTGGACGTTCCATATGCAAATTACCAGTCAGCTGCCATGGACACAGGCGAGGAGCGAAAGCCCGAGCCTCAGTGCAAGCTTGACAGGGCACAGAGCTCGGGTCTTTGTTTGTCTGCCACAGAAGCTCAATGGGACCCAGTGAACGGCAAAGCTGTGACGAGCCAGAGCCACACGGCCCCACAGACCAAAGCGGACGTGCACACAAGCTCAGACGAAAACGGCAAAGGCAAGGACAGACAGGGATGCACACAACCGCACGAGATCGATGTACATGAGCAAGACCTCTTAGAAGCAACGACGACAGGTCTCACGGTTGGCTCTTCATCAGGTGGGGCATTCAAGTGTCCCGAAGCAGAAGTAATCAGCCAAACTCTACCCAGGGTTCTGAATTCCATCTCGGAGTGTGCGGAGGGCGAGGAGGAGAGAGGGGCGGCTTGTCAGAGTGTTACGAAGGAGCATGCCGCTCGCGGTGCGATGGGAATAGAAGTACTGATGCCCCAGCCAGAAGAGATGACCAAGGCAAGGAGCATCATCACTGCTATTGCGGAGGGCCATGTTTCCCTATTGGTATGTACACCTTCATCGATATTTTAAAAGATTTGTTTCATAATTTGCAGTAAGACATGTCACCTTGCTTTAAACGGTACTTCAAACAAGCCGTTTTTTAATTCTTTTGTTTTTCTTACATGTAGCAACTTTCATGGTAAATATAATTAAATGATAGAATATAATTGAATACAATTTTAAGAATATGTGGCCAAAACTGCAGCTTGTAAAATGTTAAGCATGCCTAAACACGTTTTGAAACCAAAAAAAACTTACATTTCATATCACATAAGTATTGGAATTATTTTAAAGCAGCCATCTGTGTTTAATATTTCATAGCAAAAACAATTACATAAATTGGTTGCCAAAGACCATTCTTTTAATGAAGCCCATTAACTTAAAACAGCGTAGTTTTCAGGTAAAAAAAATAAAGCAGGTTTCCTACAGAGTAAGCCCTCAGGAAGAGGATATTCCTTTCGCCTGACCTTGTGACGGATTGTCTCAAGTGCTTCCAATGCAGTGTATACAAGGGAAATCATTGCGCGCAATTTTTTCTTGTTGAAATAAAGTCCAATTTTGTAAGGACTTTATCCGTGCGTGACAGCCCATCACTGCTTCATATCCATGGAGGGATTTGCAGCCAAATTGAGCTGCTGCCTCTCTTGGCTGGAGAAAGGCACTGATACTGGGGTGGGGAGGGGGAGTTATGGGGTGGAGGAACAGGCCCGCTCTGTTGTCTGGACTCCATTAGTATTCACCGTCGAGCGTGGCAACGTGTGAGAACGGGAGAACAACTCTCACACCATTGGTGGCTGGCAGCGAGAGAATGGACGGGCCGTTGGGTTAATCAGGCCTAGATCTCCATCAATGGCCGCGCTTGGAGGCCAGTGGAGTTTGTAAAGAAATTTTCAGTATGGCTGCCAAATAAATTCTGGGTTTCCCTTGTGACCGTAGATCAATGTTGGCATAATTAGGCTGCTGAGAGCAAACAGTAAAATGAAGATACAAGGGCGTTTTGCCTGAGGGAGCTTGAGTGCCAAACAATTCCATTTTTTGTCACTCAAGTGGCGATACCAGTTTGGGAGATTCTGTAATTCGATGCTATAAAGTTTTATTTGCTTCGTGGGAATTTTTTTGATTAATTATTAATGAAATACAATCATGCTAAATTGTTTTCCTACTGCTTAAAATATGAGAAAATCATATATGGGTATGACTGCAGTTTATAAGTGCAAAGCAGAATTTATGTTTCGTGTACGTTAAGTATTATAATTTGAGACAACCTCCCTTCCACATTAATAGATGAGCCATTCGCAATATAATTCCAGATTACATTATTATGCATGTTTTGCCATTCATAAGACAGATTATGTAGGTCACAGATTATCATTTGAATCTTTGTGATTTTTTTTTACAGTATAATTGCAGGTATTTTTATAATATGTAAATATTCATAACACCGTTGTACAGTGATAATTTTAGTTAATTAATCAATGCAGTCCCCATGCTATTTTTTTTGGCACAGGAACCACTGTTATTTACCTCGACTCATTTCTTATTGTAAACAAAGGGGCTATGAACCAGTGCTTAAATAACATATACTTTATAATTCTACATAGAACATAGTGAGGTGGCCTTATTTTTTAGTTAATTTGTGTTTTTCAGCGATGTAAAAATTAAATATAGTGCCTACATTATTTACCTGGCTACCGTTGGAATGTCCAACAAAATACAATTTTATGAGGCCAGGTTCTTTCTTTATCTCGTACCCAGCATCAATAATTCTTAATAACTTACAATGATTGTAGTAAATCATATAGTTTAAAAAAAAACTGCTGTCTTTTCATGCCTGGCAGTTGTGTGGCAATCTCAAATTTAGTGCCTTTCATTAGAATTCCACGAGAGTTTACTAAAACCAGGAGAAGCTTCAAAGGGACGTCAAAATGTTAGTTCCACTTCACTGTATTTGCAGCATTGGTGGTTGGGCGCGAAATTGTTGTAGCCATAAGCGGTTCTCAGATCGAGTAATGGCCACCGCACCAAGAGAGTGGGCTCTGCTTATATCGGGAGATATGAAAATGCAGAAACTGAAAAAAATTAAAGTATTCTTGTGATGGAATTTCATAGAATACCATTAGGGACAATAACGGAGCTTTGTGATAGCACTTCCTGCTAGCAGGGAAATGTTCCAGCACATATTGGGAGCGATTTGATTGGTGTCTGCCATGAAGGGCAATAACTCACCCTCTATGCAGGCAAGCAGCCTGCTAGCACGACGAGAAAAAGATATTAGGCCACAAAGGGGATACATGTTCCAGGTTCATTTTTATGCTGAAGCCAGCTGAATGTACAGTATACACAACGCATTGGCGGGATAATCAGGCATTAGTGATAATTTTGTAAAATGACACACTGGGCTATGCCGTAACGTGCATGTTTTTAAACCACCCTAGTTTATCGCTTTAATAAGATTACTACGCTGTGTATGCCGTTAAGAGATTGTCCATGTTTTTAAATGCATACTGTATGTCCAGGGAGGAAACGGTAGACTTGTAATGATTCACCATCCTTGTCATTTGGTGAATCGGCAACATGTGGGGGGGGGGGGGGGTCACTATTCAGTCCACACATAGAATATACAGGGTTTGATTGATTAAAAGTATTTACAAATAGCATGGGGGGAAAACACCCCGTTACTTGGGCATACATTTAAAATACACATCATGTAGTTGTGTCAGGGGCAATGTGAATCCATTACATAACAGGCATCATGATCAGCCTTGATCTATCCACCGCTGGATGAACGCCTCTCCCAGCCGTTGCCATCCCTCCATCAAGCTGTTGCCCATGAGCTGGAACTTCTGTGAAAAAGAGCCTCAAAGCTCATCGGATTCCTCCAGTCTAAACAAAGATTCCGATTCCGATGAGCTGATCTCATCGATTCACCTCCACGGGCGTCAATCTTTGTTGCCATTCCATCACCAGTTCTGTCCATTGTTCTTCATGTCTTCTTGCAATGGGTCCTGCCCAAGCCGACTTTGGTTAACAGGCAACACTATTTTAGATTTGAAGCTTTCGTGACTGCAAGGATTCATACTCTTAGTTCTTTCGGTAAAGTCACGTAGGTAAAAGGTGAAAACCTGAAGACGGAAGCTTGTGTTGCCTCCGAAACGTCGTGATTTTTTTCATTTTTTTACCTATGTGACTTTACCGAAAGAACTAAGAGTAGGCAACACTGTGTCTTATACCTGTGTGTGTGTTCTCTAATCCATGTGTTCCGTCTTTCTGTCAGTGTATCCCTAACTATTCACCTCTCCGTGTTTATTTTCACGCTATTCAGCTTACGTTTCTTTCTCTTGTTTAGTGTTCAGGTTTCCAATCCGTATGACATTTGGCATGTAATATACAATGCTTTAAAGTGTTTTTCTTCAGGGATATTAACATGTTGAATTTCACAATTAGTTCAGTTTTACAAAACCACTCCCATCTGCTCTTGTACGTCTTTTTGTTTAATAATTTTCATCTCTTGTCAATCTTCAATAACTGCCCTAGGTATCCGTGTGCTTTTCAGTTGTATTCCTCCAACAGATATCTTAAATTGTGTATTGACGCTCTTGTACGTAACATTCCCCAAACAAATACTAAACATTTCGATTTAAAGCTTTCGTGACTGCAGGGATTCATATTCTTGGTTTTTTCGGTAAAGTCACGTAGAAGGGAAAACAATAAAATAATTTTAAAAACAATAAAATTCTCAGGACGTTTTTATTGCAACACTTTACCAAAAGAACCAAGAATAAGTACTAAACAATTGAAGGTACTGTATGGCTCTCTAAACATCCTCGTTGCATCTCTCAAAAATCTTCAACGTATTGCAAGCGAGGATTTTAACACCGCTTTGTTCAAAGGATCTGCATCATGGAGCAAAAGAAACAAAGACTCCCCTATGAATGAGCGTAAACAGACAGCAGCCTTTTACTCTCACACCAAAGAGACAGTTGGTGGCGATGGGGGGGATTCACTAATGGCAGCCTCACTCAGGCGTCACGGCATCCAGTCCGCGGTGTCTCCAACAGCACGAGATGATACAGGGAGCGTGCAGGTAGAGCCGCCGAATCTGATCCTCAGCGAGGTGAGAATAAACAAGGAGTGAGGCACACAGAGAGAGGAACGGAGACACTGTCACCAGCACGAATGCACTCAATGAAGGGGGGAATGCATGGGGTGTAGGTTTGCCACCTCTGAGGTTTAAACAACCGTCACACAACACATATCACGAGAAGCAGAATGTCTCGCAAATAGTGCCGCAGCAAGGGCAGGATGGGCCGGGTTTTGCATGGCAGATGGGGCGGGCAGGGCTTCTCCCGGGTGTCCCTCCCAAGGGGACACCTCTAAAATCGGGAGCCGAATACTGTAGTTGGAAACAAGCAGTAGCTTATTGGGGCCGGTGCTGGTGGCAGGGGGGGAGCTGGTGAGGGTGGCGAGGATGGCACCTCGCCATGGCAGCCAGAAGGTCTGGCTACGGGTCTGCTCACAATACCAGAAGAAGGGGAGAACTACATCCAACTGCATTTTCTCAAGTGGTGTATTATTATTACACAACTTACAGAAACCAGGACTTTTAGTGTCTGAGGAAAACTGACATATTTGCCAGGGCAGCTACCTCCAAAAGAGCAGAATTCTGGGAAAGTCAGCACAGGTGGCAGTCCTAATGGAGAGGGTCCGATGTTCTACACGTGTGGTGGTGGTGTGATGTCCTCTTGAGTAGTGTATCCTGTCATCTTCTCTTCAAGGTTGGACCCATCAACGTTGAGAGTGAATATGCTGAAATATGTTGAGTGCGCCTTTTGGCGTCATCTGGTCCAACACCACGTGAGACTAGGCTCTACGGAAAGCTGTCTCGGGTGTGGACCAATCAACTTCAAGGACAGTGCATACATTATCAGAGTTGTGTTTTTTGTTTGCATTATGGCTGCAGGTATTGTGGTCTATGCAAACATGACTCCTTGTAAAATAGATGT